TAAACACTATAATACGATGAGAATGGGTGCACACGGCAGAATTGTAGATGACGAGCGCAATCGACTCTTTCATCTCTGCAGTTCGACGAGGCGACAGTAGTCGTTCCTAAAAATGTCACAAAATAATATTTCGCAAAATATAGAGTTCATATTACTTTAAAGAAAAATTTTACCTAAGCAATTTTTTAAACCACAAGTTCTTTGGCAATTTTGCTGCATAAATGTATCATTGCAGGGACGCAAATTTCTTAGGAGATTACAATTTTCATTAGTGTCCGGGCAACCACCAGCCGAGCCAGGTTTATCGCATAAGCCACAAGTTTTTGCACATCTTTCAAGTGCAAAAGCGGAGAGTTGTGGACTGCTACAAAGAGCTGGATTTTCCGCAAATAGTGTGCAATTGCTTGCAGCTGAAAAGTTTATGATAAATCGCACCTAAGATTCTGCACCTTCGTTTGAAAAAAAACTTGAAAAGAACGACTTACTATCGGGACAGCCGCTGAACTGAGGTGTTTTGCAACATAAAGCACAAGTTGATGCGCAAAATTTGGTAGCAATGGACAAATGTGTGGCTTTAAAACAATCCTCGTGGACCTTGTATGGTTTGGTCCTGCAAAATATGTGTATTTATTGCATGTCTCGAACCAAGAAAAATTAAAGGCAACAAGTCTTTTAATTTTCTATTTAAATACGCATCTTTTCACAGTGTTTACTAGAGATTGTATTATTTATTATAATTTGTAATTGTATTATAATCTAATCATATTTTTTCTGAATGTGGAAAGTGAGAAAAAAAAAGAAAAATGATAAAAATCGGAAGAGGCTGATAAATGAACTGATCAACCAGTCGTCGTCAAAAAACGATTCACTAAAATATCGCTAAAATTCTATCATTTCTTAAAAAAAAAAAAAATAATTTATAAAATTCACTTACGGATTCGCATTGTCGGCGAGGTCATTATTAACATTATTAAGGAATAAAGCGTTACACAAATTTGAATCGCTATCACGACAAGCAGATGCACTGGGAACAGGGCGCCTTGATATTTGATTCGGGGCTTCCATTTCCACACCTCCATTGTGACATTCTTTGATTACAGTCGTCGCTGCATTTGTTTCATTTAGAAATTTCAAAATCAAAAGAATTAGCACGAGGATCATCGCAGCGAATTTGCCTTATTCTATTTTTTTCAGCAATAAGCATCTTTTTATACCTTTTTAGTACAATAACACCTCTACGTTCATTTCTCATTTTACGTTTTTGTGTTTATTCACCTGTTTGATAAGTTATTACGAGTCATTCTTGTTTTAACGTCATAATTATATTTTAATCATTTTCGATTTTGAAGTGAATTTTTCAATCTTCATTAATTATATGGTAAAAAAATAGATCGCAATCTGTATTTTGCCATATTCCGTTCCTTGCTAACCTTGGCAATGAACAACGCTAAAGGTTAAAATTAGTAAAACTTTGAGCTGATACGATCAGAGGATATCAGACCTATATTAACGCATATCAGGCTTACTTCTATATAAGCATGGCTTCCGTTCAGATAGCTTGGAAAAGTAGCCACCAGTGGATCCAGTCAAATTAAAAGTGTGGCGAAATATGTAGAAGAATAAGAAGATTCCCGCAGGTGAGTGAGTGAATAAATTAAGTATGGTTAATATTGTATATTAATCGTAATTCAGCACATATAATAGTCATTTTAGAAAAACGGCCGGAAAAAGGCATTGAAAAAACTATATTTATGTAAATTGATGAGCACATGCGTGGAACAGAGAAATACGATCAAGCTTGGTATTGTTCATTCATCGGCTTTAGTCCCTTATATCTTGGAAGGAATTTATCCATGTGGAAAGTGAGAAAAAAAAAGAAAAATGATAAAAATCGGAAGAGGCATCCATGTGATGTGATACTTAATCGTTCATTGCATACTTCTTAGTGGATTTCTTCCAATATCAGAAAAAGCAAAGCCAAAAAAATTTTATAAAATTTTAAATGTGAAAGGTGCTAATCAACTAAATATTTTGTAAAAATTTTTATTCATAAAATTTAATTAAATTTTTCAATTCAATTTTTTAAAAAAAATTTTTTTAGTTCTTTTTAATTTTTTCTTCGGTTTAAACAAAAAAGATTTCTCATATCAGTTTTTTCATTAAACGAAAAAAAAGGATCTATTTTTTCATTAATACAATTTTTTTTATGAAAATTGCATTATTAAAATTACTCATCAAACTATATTTCGTTATATTTGCTTTCCTGTCAGGAAAATCATTTAGAGTTCAACGTTTAAAGATTATTTGTACTTTATATTTCGGTGACTCGTTGGCAGTAGTAATTTCCTATGGTAATTGTTTTGAAATATCAAAGTGCGTTGGGCCACTAAAGCGCTAAATCATAAACATTTGAAGCGAATATAGAAGCTATTATTTCATATTTTCCGAATTCACCTGCTGATCTTTCCCCTCGAGCTTGATCAATGTTAGTTTTTAATAAATTTTTTATTCATTTTAATCACTAAGTCATGGCCTTCGCTTCTACCTCAACAGATTTTACATTACTATTGGCTAAATTTTGTAATGAATGGTGCAATTAATATGAGTTAGAATCGAAAACCCAATCGAAATTTGAATTGAGATGAGGAAAGGAGAATGCAAAGCGGCAAAGCAATATAAGACCTAACGAAAGGAAAGGTGAGGATTTAAGCATGATGTGGGTTGGATTGGAATGGCTGTAAGCGTTACGGTCAGATGAAATCAACCAAACTGGTAATGGTACGACCTTTTTAAAGAACAAGGAGGAATCAAATATTTATTATTTATTAATTCAGAATCGCCAATCAATTCAGAAGGACAAAAATTTGATTAATTTTTGTTTCATTCACACACATGAAATAAACTAATTTTTTAATAATTTACCTAATTCTCCGCAGAGTTTCGTCCAATGCGTAAAATGCATTGGTTTATTTGAGAATTTTTCATTTCGTATAAACCCATACAATTCTAAAATATTTTTGTATAATTTTTCTCATATTAGTTCGCATGCAGAAAATTACTTATAAATTTACTTATTTACTTCCAAATTTCTCCCTATATTTTCATTCGTCTAACATTTTTTTATATTTATATTTTTTTATTTTTCATTTCAATCATTTGTGATTTTTACGAAAATAGCGCATTTTTTCATTTGTTAAAAAAAAGTTTTGCGCAGAATTTAGTCAATGATTTTTCGTTTTCCCATAAATATTGGTTAATTTTTATTTTAAGGAAGAAGTTTGGATGAAATTTTGTAAACAATAAAGAAAAAAATATAATAAAATGGTTCGGAGAATAATATAAGATTTAAGGTTTTTACCTTCAAAATCTTCTCTACAAACCAAGCAATTTTATTTTAATCGAACTCCTCAAATGAGATAACTGCTTTGCTGATGATTTTAGGATCGCTTTTTCTACCTGAATTAAACTTTTCGCAGCACTCATTCGAATCTTCTTTGAATATTTATGTTTTTCTTTGAGTTCGTTGTTTTAATTTTTAAATATCGATATATGTCGATTGCGCCTGAATTCATTTTCCGAAAAAAACGATAATAACAAAATAATCAATTTGATAAATTAAAAAATTTTATGCTTTGATAAATTATTAACATAGACAAATGTAGAAATTTATTTTACTTTGACCATTCACTTCGGAATTTTTTTTTTCATAAATTATTCTAAACTATGTTTGCATTTCAATTAACCAATTTATATTTCGAAATGTATGAACATGGAAAGAAATGAAAATATCAGCAACGACTGATAGCTTTATCATAAACAGTTGTGGCTAATCTAATTTGACTTATGGTGTACTTCTGGCACATTATACGAAGGACGTGAAGAATAGTTATGAATGCATTTTATTACATTTGACAACAGAAACTCGCTTAAGCCAATAATGCTTAATTTAAGACCAAAATATCTTGCTTGAGGATAAATTCAGATTAAATTCGATTATGCAGTTGTTCAAAAAAACTCCGCTTTATTTTTCATGAACCCATCACTTATGGTGATATGAGATTCATAATAGCTGCTACAATACTCTTCTTGAATTTTACAAAGAATGAGCCTTTTTATATTTGTGGTACTTTATTTCTGGCACTACAAGAATACTTGAAAGTCAGACAATGATTGAAACTGGCAAAATTTTTGTATTTGAGGAAAACGTTTCCTAATATTACAATTGTCTAAGATTTCAAAAAATTTTTTGTCGAGTGGAGAATGCATCAGTAAAGCAAAACGAATAGTCCAATTCGATCATTACAAATGCCAAATGGTCCTTATTTTTCATGAAAGCAGCAAAGCAACAACAATTGATAACCCTTTTTTTTACATTCTTAAATTTTTAATTTAATTAAAACTTAAAAATTTAATTAAAAATAAAAATTCAGATTCTTCTCAATTTAATTGTTATAAGACCCATTAATATAAACTGAAAGGTTTGCTTACCAGCCAAATCATGGAATATCGTAATGAATTTATGGGAATGTGGCCTACAATGCGAAAGTTTCGAAAGAATCACTAAATAAATAGTTATGTGTGCTATTTATGCACTAAAATAGAAATGGAAAAAAGCGAGAAAAAATGGAAATTAGGTGAGGAAAAAAAATTTGGAGCTTTATAATAGCTTTCTTTTGAGGTGCTTTATTGTTGGGAGTTCTATGGTAATACAATAATATATTAAAAACCCAGTTTTCTCGTAAAATAATACATTATTAATTTATTTACAATATTTATATAACTTATTTACAATAAAATTACAAAAAAATTGCAAAATTTATGGAGGAAAATTTTTAAAAAATCTGAAATTTTGAAAAATTCGTGAAGAATTCATAAAAAATAAAAAGAATTCTTTACTGAATAAAAAAGATGAAAAATAAAAATTGATTTAAATATCTATAAGAAACTTAAGAGAGGAGAAATAAATATATTATATTCGCCAAATTTCTAAAAATTTTTTCCCTCATTGTATAATAAAATAGAAAAAACCAAATCTTCATATGATAATATTAATCGTCCGTGAGTGGTATAATCGTGAGCAAAAATCATATGAAAATTGTTCGAGTGTAGAAATCCTTCCCATATAGCAATAATACTTAAATGAGCGAGTATTCGAATTTTTTGCAAGAGAGAAGAAAATTTATAAATAAATATTTTTATTCCGCAATAGATGCAGTATTTTCCGCAAAGGGCTTCATCATTTTAATCGCAATTTGCGGCTTCATAAAAGCCTTCTCTTGAGATATTTTATTGTTGGGAGTTCTACGCTATTATGGATACTGATCCTCCAGTTTTTCCTTATATCTGCCGATCTGATATGCAGGTTATCTTCAAATGACTGGATAACTATATGCACTTTATATTTCAACTGACAAATAAGCAGTTTTGAACTATGTTATCAGTTTTGAACCCGCTAAACCTGCGGCATTGCTATTATAACTGCTCATTTCTCACTATTCTCTTTTGTTATCCTCCATTTCCTGTATCTTCAAGATTGTAAATTCTTTCTTTCACTGCAGATTTCTATCTAGCAAAAACGCCAAAAAAAGGTGCACAGCGATAGGCTTTATTAAGGAACTATAATGGACTCGGCTGCTTTTAATGAAAAGGCTGCTTCTAATGTAGAGGTCACAGAAGGAAAATTGCTCGAAATTGGCAAGGAGATCTCTTCAATTATTTATCAATAAATTTTTCATTTATTCAATAAATCTAATATGCAAAAATTTAAAAATTTAAAAATTTAAAAAATTGAATTTTCAAATGATTGTAAAATTTGTAAAATTTACATATTTTATAAATTTGAGGGAAGAAAATAAATGAAATAAAAATTTGTTTTTTTCATTTTTTAACCAAAAATTGCTAAAATTGCATTAATTAATTCAAATAAACTATTTTCAAAAGTAATCGACAAATTTTTAAAATTCAAATTTTATTCAAATGAAGAAGTGCTTTTTAATCGATTCGTTTTGTTTGTTAAATTTTCTAAATAAATCCAAAAAATTTTTATTAATTTAATTTCAAATTTAATTTGAAATTTTTGGCAATAATTTTTCGTTTTTCATATTGCAAAAAATGTCAATAATTCCGGAAATTTTTTGCAAAATAAATTTTATTATTGGCAGAGGAGTTTTATTTGATTCATTCATTAATATTATTTCATTCTAAAATTTTAGAAATTTTTTCATAAAAGAGAAAAATATTTTTGTTTAGTTATTTCGACTGGAAAGGTAGAAAAGATAGAAAAATCTAACGAGTAGAATGAAATATTGGAAGGTGAGGAGAAGAATGAGAAAGATGATCGAGAAAGATAGGTTCATGCAATTTAGAATTGATCCTACTGATGAAAAGTGAAATAATGGACAAGTTTGAGATTCAATTTCACTTCCATTCCTGGCCATATGACTCTAAATCTAATAGACATTCAACCAAATTAAAAATGAGAGAAGTATAAGAAAATTTCTACGCAGCCCATTTTTCATTTAACTAGAGAATGTCGTTTTCAAGGTCCCTAGTTTCGACACCATATGAACCAGAAGATCTCGTCAATTTTTCAACTTTTTTGATTCACCTCAGCATCTGACATCGTAAAACAAGATCCAATCACCGTTAAGGTATAATTAATATAAGAAGTGCACGAGTGAGATGGAAGAATCTGCCCGCTTGGCGGCTTCGTCTTCGACAAAAAAGGATCATAAAATCATTGGCCCATATAATTTCCCACAGTCATTGGCTATATTTTACAATCACTTTAGCTAGATAGGTGCGAACTTTCGTTTATTGGTAATTTTGCAACTGAAAAGATTTCAAGCGGAAAACAAGTTTAGCTATGGCTGTTCAGTCTGAAATTTCTTCCTTCGTTTACTCATTCGATATTAGAACCGATATAAGATATCTTAAAAAAAATCAACCTACGTTTAACTCCCTCTATTCACAACTAAAAGTTCGATTTTTCTTATTCATTAATGGTTCCCTATTCTCTTTTACAGGTTAATAAAAACAAATCATACATTTAAAATATTAAAATTTGAAAATATTATTTTTTATTTGCACTTAATTCCTTACGGATAATTGATGGAAAAAAAACATTTTCAATAGTATTCAAATAAAATATTTATACACTATAGAAATACATAGATTTGCAAAAAAAGCTAAGTTTTATACAATTCTGTGCTAAAATATAACAGCTGTATGCCGTGTACTTTAGACTATAATTAGTTGGTCATAATTCTTTGATTTAAAAAAAAAAAGTGGTCAATTTTCATCATTATTCTGAGGCTATTAGTACAAGCAAAGAAAGGAAAAATTTTCGCCAATTTAGTGAAAGAAGTTCTAAGGAATCTTCAGCACACTATGCGTGCTTTCCTCATTAGTATTCAATTTTATGACGGTATTTCGTTTTTTCTGGCATTTGTACCCCTTAAAGAAGGGAATTTTTTTCATTATATTTCCACTTGATTTCTTTTATCGAAAAATTTACAGTGAATGGTTTTAATATTTCGCAATAACTACCAAATATTTTTATTTTATATTTCCACAGTAAGTTTGTAAATGACTTTCAAGCAAAGATTGAGCCTAAATAGAAATAGAGCCTAGACAGATGAGCCTATTTAATAAGAGTTCTGTCGTTTATGAAAAAAAAAATTCTCCCTATTTCAGCGAAATAGAGAGATCGAATGGAGTAATAAAAAGCTTCACAAGGAGGGAATAAGAAAATATTTTCATATCGAACACAAAACTATTCATTTTACTTCTCTTTAGTTAAGAGAGAAGAGAGATTTCAGCAAAAATTGCATGTTTTACGGCAATAAACGCTATAATACAATGAGAATGGATGTAAACGACAAAGATGTTGATGTCGTGCACAATCAATTTTTTCATCTTTGCATCTTGAAGCCAAATTTCCTAAAAATCTCATAAAATCACACAAATAAAATAAAAGGAATCATGTTAATTCAAAAAAAAAGTTTTACCGAGACAAGTTTTTAAACCGCAAGTTCTTTGGCAATTTTGCTGCATAAATGTGTCATTGCAGGGACGCAAATTTCTTAGGAGATTACAATTTTCATTAGTGTCCGGGCAACCACCAGCCGAGCCAGGTTTATCGCATAAGCCACAAGTTTTTGCACATTTTTCAAGTGCAAAAGCGGAGAGTTGTGGACTGCTACAAAGAGCTGGATTTTCCGCAAATAGTGTGCAATTGCTTACAACTGAAAGGCATATTTTGAATCGCACCCAAGAATTTGTATCTTCATTTGAAAAAAACTTGAAAAGAACGGCTCACTATCGGGACAGCTGCTGAACTGAGGAGTTTTGCAACATAAAGCGCACGTTGATGCACATAATCTGGTGGCGATCGCTGAATATATGGTAGAGTAACACTTCTCGTTAACTTTATAAGTCCTTATTCTGCAAGCAGTGAATTTAAAATCGCAAACGGAGACAGACAGCTTTTTATTTTGCCATTAAGTCATTTTTTTCATATTTGCTTCAATTAAACTAACAGCAGAATTGGTAAAAAATGATACTAAAAAAATAATAAATCATAAAAATTTAACAATTTCTGAAAAGCACTTACGGATTTAAACTGGTAGCAATGGCATCATTTGGGAACAAAGCGTTGCACAAACCATTTCGATCGTTATCTCGACAAGCTGATGTGCTGGGGACGGGGCGCCTTGGTTTATCACCTCGGTCAGGTGGATCTTTTTCTACACCTCCATTATGACACTCTCGTATTGAAACCGTCTGAGTATTTGCTTCGACAAAAAATTTTAAAATTAAAAAGCTCAGAACGAGAATCATCGATGCAAATAAGGCTTATCGTAGAATTTTTCAGCAATTGGCCTCATTTTATTTTCACTGAGTGCAATAGTAACATCCCACAGTTATTATCAGTTCGTGTGTTCATTTGTTTGATAAGCCATTATGAATCACCCTTGTTTTGATCGCCAAAATTATCATTTTTCCTTCCCGTGCAAAAGCAAGTCGTATAAGCAAACGTTCCAATTCTCTTCTGGCGATTTTAAGTAATTATATAAATTGATTTTACCGAAATTTTTTGTCTTAGAGATTTATTTCATGACTTCGCCAAAAACAACGTAGATCAATTGAAATTTGGACTCATTAAAAGATCCGTAGGATCGATCTCCACAGTTAGTTGAACAATACATGGATTTAAGCGATGGAAAAAGGTGTGGATTCAATTAATTTGAAGCGTGGTATCGGATTGGGAAATTTGGAAACGCCGTATTCTAATCGCCAGGTGAAGCGCACTCAAACCAGTATTGCTTAGATGAACAAGAAGAGGTTTCAAACTTTAATAATTAACTAGAATTGATTGGATGGCTAATTACTAATTACTTCTGAAAGATATTGCTTGTTCATTTACTTTTTCTTATAATTATTTCATTGTTTACTTTAAAAAATTTGAACCATTTTTTAGTTTCTCCCTATATCAGAAATTTATTCAATAATTTACATAATTCTCCTTTTGATTTATTTGCATATTTTTCATTGTAATTTCGCCCAATGTATAAAACAATTTAATCTATTTTATCTTACAGTTTCGTTCCTATATCAGAAATCAAATTAAAAATCTATTCACCTAAATTTGCCTAAATTTCCCCATAATTTCGCCCCTATTCATAAAAATTGTATTCATTTTTTAGGCAATTTTCCCCACAAGTTTGTCCTATGCTTGATAAATGAATTCATTTATTTGTATATTTTTCATGCAGTGTCATCCCGTATATAAAATACAAATATCTTTATTTGCATAATTTTTCCTATAATTCCTTCACATTTAATGCTACTCTTTCATATTGGCTTTCATATTTCTCCATATATTTTTATTATTATGAATTGAAAAAGAAGGCTTACGTAAAGACTAATTATATAAACTAATTTTTCAGCAGATTTTAAGAAAGTATAACTGCTAAATGCGATTCTGAGCCAAAAATGGTACACTAAAAATATTTGGCTCTATATTTCTGCCATAATTCGATTAGTGAGTGCCATTCGTGGTCCGAGAAGCCTGCGGAGGACATTCATTCTTTCACTTGGTGATTTTAAAATATTTTAGTGATGATTTTAATTAATTGAATTACTATTTATTCTTATAAAATTATTGACTTTCTTCCATAATTTTTTCATAAAATATTTTTTCCACAGTTTTAATCAGACCAAATTGATTTTTCTTTGCTTTCAGTAATCTTTACTTAATTTATTTTATATTAAAAATTTATGAAAAATTTATTTTATTTTTTAATGAAATTAATTTGTTTTGCTTTAAATTTATCGTATTTTGTAAAGAAATATTATAAAATATTATATGAATTAATATAAATATACATAGGTAATTAATATAATATAATATTTATACTGATCGTTTTAATTAAAATAATTAAAATAAATAAATATAAAATATTATGATAAAAAATATTATAAAAATATTTTTAATTGAATATAATTTGACTGTTTTATTTCGAGATGATCATTTTAAAAAGAAAATCAGAAATGAATGCATAATAATAATGCCTCAGGAATCCACCATGGATTCCTGTAAATTACCAATAAATAACGAAATTCTTGTGTTTCTAAGGATCGACTCTTTTCAATAAATATTCAATGATATTCTAGTTGGTCTCAAACTTTTAAGATACCTTAATTTACTAAAGATATTTTAATAAGCAGAGAGAAATTTCTCATTATTTTCTTCCTCACAAATCATTTATCATGAAATTTCATGCAGGGTAGTGATACATTTATATTTCCTTATTCTATGCTATATCATATTCTGTACTTCAACTGGATTGCTGTTAGCGAGTTCTCGGCAAAAAATGCATAGCCTAGATCAGCCAGAAATAACTGTTCGAAAAAATTTCACTACATATTCCAATGCTAATTCAATTCATGCTAATTTTAATGAAATTTTAATTGCATGAGAAAAAAAAGTTATCATTACTTACAAAAAACAGAAGAATCAGATAGAATAAAGAAAAGCTTCAAAAAAAAAAAGAAAAAGTTTTGATGTTTCAGCTACAATATTTCAAATTTTTTTCAACGATTTAGTTATATTTCTCACAATTCGCCTTAAATTTTTGACTCAAATTCTAATTATCTTTGTAATCTGAAATAAATTTTATGTAATTATGATGAAATTATGTTGAAAAAATGTGGTTTATAATTTTGCATTAACGATAAATTGCTTTTTTCGCTGAAAAATTGACCAAAGCATCAATTTCAAAAATTTAATTTTCAATTTTTTAGTTTTTCTTCTTATATAAAGATTACTTAATTTAAAGAGATATCTGAAAATAGAGAAATAATTTAAAATAATAAAATAATAATAATATGAGTCAATAAAAGAATATAAAGATTTGTAGAATTTACGACTTTCAAAGAAATTTAGAAGAAATTGTAAAAATTGTAAATAAATTGTAAAAATAAGTAAATTTAGGCTATTTGATTCGTGTGATGGTAACTTACCAAGAATAAAATTTTTTTTTTGATAAATTATTTATAATGAATTAAATAAAAATGATTGATAAAAAAAATAAAATCAATTCTACCAGCTGCATAATGAGTATCTCAACATTTTGACGTCAATTAGTATGAAAATATATAATTGTAGCGGTCCAATTCTTTATATTCATGTAATACTCCTGAAAGAATTAAATCTTAAAAAACCATGCACGAATCTGCTTTTTTATATTTGCAAAAACTTATTCCATAATTTTATAATATAATTATAACTATATAATTTTATAGCTTATTCGCCTTCCAGCCATCTTTATTAACGAAATTTCGTCATTCAGAATTTCAACGTTCACCTCAGGGCATATTAACAAGCAGAAAATTGCGATTTTCTTTGCTCACTTTTTACAAGTCAATATTTTGATTTATATATTGATCAATCAACTAATCGGTAAAATTTTGCAAATTTTCATACCTTGAAGGCATAATTAAGCAACGATTTTTTTTGGCCATAATTAAATGACGTTTCGTATAATTTGAGAAATTCAAATTATTTTTAAAAAAAAAAAATTATTATTGTGATTAAAGTATTATAATGACTCATTAAAATAGAAATATTATTTTATAATTTATGTGTTTATCAAAAGTTTAAATGCTGAAAATTATTACCAAATTCCAGTGGAAAATTTTTATAATTTGTAATTTGCTTATAATTTACTTTTACTTACTTTTGTAATTATTTTAAAATATTGATTAAATATAAAAATAAATAAAATAATAATTGTGATTTATGAGAAAAAATCGTTAATAAATGTAAACTTCGCATAACAACGATTAAAATATTGGCAAATATTACTGCCATTATTATCGTTTTTTATATCCATAAATCTCTCAAGCAGAATTTTATAGGGCAAAGGCGATGAACTGAAAATTATGTTATCAATCTGCTTGCCAAATCTTCAAATTATAATATTCCGATATTCCAAGTTTTATCAAAGATTTAGATATATTTCTCACATTTCGCACTGATTTTTGAGCTCAAAATCTAATTGCTATTGCAAATTGGGATCGTTTATTCGATACCTTTAATCATTGAATTTCATTATTGTATTCCATCAGCTTAAGAAAAATAACCGTTCCATAATTAAAGTGAAATCATGTTGCCTATATTATGTAAGAAAATAGTGAGTTAGTATTTCTATGTTATTGATAATTCAATTGTCTTTGCTGCAAAATAACACAACAACCGCAGACGAACGATTATATGGGAACTTTTGTTAAAGAATTCGATTCTCTCCTACAAAGGGTACTGTTAAATTTGAAATAAATTCAAAAATTTTCCTTTTTTTTGGAATTTGTATTGAAGAGAAATGAATCTCCAGTTCTCCAGTCAATAGGTTTCTTCAGCGTCACTTCTGGAAATCCGTATTTCTTTCGCGTTATAAGTTGTGCTCTCCTACCTCGCGGAAATTGATTCCTCAATTATTTAATTTTTTTCAAGAGTCCTCACTATTACTGGTTAAACTTGCCATATTTGGCTTGTCGCATTGAGCAATATGGCAAGGAGTCACTCGGCGATAGAAATACAGGTGAATCGCCAGCATTGCCCACATTTATCGCTTTACTGCCAGACGAACTTTGGTGTCGATCAGATTCAAAACCAAGCCTTGATTGCAATTATCTGACTCACTGACGCATCATCGGTGATAAAAATATAGGCTTAAACGAATTATTATTGAAGGAGAGAATCTCGTTCGCTTTTAGCATATGGCTTAATATTATCCAGATACAGAAGATGTCTGATGGTAGCTCCGCTCTTAAACTTCTACTCACATACTTCTTATGAACTGACTGAAGCAGAGTTTAGATATACACCAAGCAATTGGAGAGGCAATGCACCACCTTGATATATGTCAAACTTAATGGCCACCTATTTCGAGTCGACTTTAAGTATCGATTTACACAGAAATTTTTATTTTTGCATCTTTTTTTTCATAAAGGATTTTTTAATTGCATTATTTTTTATTTTTGAAGTGATTACCATTGCCGATTGGGCTCTCTCAACTAATTAAATTAGAAATGTTTTTATAAAGAATCGCTTAATACAAAATACAACTAAAATCATTGATTTCTATAAAGCAATTTATTCCTTGCATATACAATTTATTCCTTGCATCATCGCTGCTGAAACACTTTGATATTCTGATCCTAACTGCATTGATAATGTTTAAAGTTTTGAATGTCAACGCAGATGGACCTTCCTAGAAATTTTTGAGGAAAATAACAAAAGTTCTTCAAATGAAGTGGAGTTCTTCAGCTCATGAACAAGTGATTAAACACGTTTTGGCAGACATGTTTTTATTCTACATTTTAAAAAATTAGCACTTTATTCTTTATAATTAAATTAACCATGAAAGCTTGTAAAAAAAATTTACTTGATATTCGATATTATATTCGATAAATGATTCGTTTTTTACACTAATTGAAAAACTTCACTGATAGAAAAATCGTTGATCGATTTCCGAGTCTCTACAATTTTCTGAATTTTAAATGTGATATATTCACTTCTTTCGTGCAATCTTTTCTTAGCATCGTTATTTGATCCCATAGATTCAACAAAGATTCAAAAGCTGCAGTGCAATACAAGAATTGAATTTCGCTGAATTTTTATCATATCATTTCATATATCATTCTGATATATTATTTCCTATCACAACACCTAACATATTACCCAAGCAAATCGAATTTACAGAATTTATCGTTGAGCTTACAAAGTGAATCGCGTTTGGTGTATTTCCAACATCGCTTTTCCTTGACATATAATTTCTTGAATAATTCTCCACTGTAAAATTCTTCTTCAAATGTTCGAAAATGCATAAAAAAATAAAAAAATAATAATAAAAAAATAATCTGAGGGAGGAAATTACTTCGGCCAGAATTTGCAAACGATATACTGGATATGTCTTTGTTCCCAAATTTTTTTCTTTTCGGAAAAATCTTCAATTTTTTCAATTTTATCATCATCATTATTATTATCCGGATAACTGCACAAAGGTTTCATTGCGCAGCCAACATCTGTAGTTAATCCAGATGCAACCTAAAATATCGCAGCACTGAGAATTGCAATATGGTGAATTTATATCAGTCGTAGTCTATCCAAAAGCGTAATTTGTTTGCGAATCAAACCTGTATGAATTCGTCATATGTGCCCAAAAATTCGTACGTTGACACACTACTATCCTCGAAGCCGTTTTCTATTCTTTTCACCCAATCTTTTAGTGCTTCCTTTACAGGTTCATCTAAGACTGTAAATAAATGTAGAATTTTAATGAAATGAACATTTATCATTTATCACTATTTCGCATTTCATCATTTTTATCGCTAATGTCTATAAAAAATCTCTGAACAGATTTCATTCATTTTTTCCATTCCACTATTTCCTTTCATTATTTTATTTCTTTTTTGATTTTCTTCAATTTTTTTCGAAAGTTACGTTTAAAATCGTCGCTTGAAGGTCGAAATACAAAGTGAATACCTTCTGATACACCATGTCTATATTTAGAAGCTTTTTCTTGAGCCAATCGTTCTAAAGTATACTTGCATCTCTAAAAATCTGAGAGAACTTGCATTTAGTTAGTGTAATAATGTCAATACAATAATGTCATTTATCATAAATAGGTCAAAAACTTTTTCCTAAGTTTTATTAATTGGTACTAGCTTAAAGTGTCTACTTGAATTCTTTTATTTCTATTTTAACATGTTATTTACATAATTATTTCGACTTATTTTCAATAAATTTAAGAAATAATAAATCGCTTATTTTATTGCTTTTCTTTATTGCTTTTTTTCATCTCGTTTCTATGAAATTTTTCTAAAATATCATTGCTGCTGCAAGAACACAAAAACATTACTACTTATAAAGAAAATAGTATTCGTCTTGCTTGGTTGTTTTACGGAAGTATCGGAAGTACTCGGGAGATGTAAATTAAGCATCTAAGAAATTATAAGAAATAATTTTAAAATTAACCATTTTATATATCTCTTTACCCTTTGGGAATTTGGTGTTTTTGGACCGAACTCTCTCGTTCACAAGTTCTTTCCTGAATGTGTTTATCGCATCGAGAGCCTTGTCATAATCGATACCTCGTTTCAGTTTTCCAACGCACGGTGTGGCTGAAACGAATTATAAGTTAAAAAGACTTCAGCATTTAGCCATTAGCCATTGAATAACCATTTAAAAATAAAATATTTATGAAAAAGAAAAAAAATAGCCATAAAATAAGAAATTTTTAAAAAAGTTTTCAAGAATTTACTTGGTAGTGGTCGGTGAACCAAACCTGAAATTCATTTTTATAAGCGATTCATTATACAAGAAATGAAATACAAAATAAAGGAAGAAACTATATTAAAATGATTTTCGTTGGAATCTTATCATATTAAAAAATAAGTGAATTGTTTCATTGTTTAATAAATCAATAAATAAATTTATAATTTTTGCCATTGCTATTTTGCCATTTTTTTGATAAATAATGATAAATAATGAGTTGTAGGTTTCAGCTGTGGTTATTTTTTGATTTACTACATAAAATCCTTTTGCCATCGAAAAATCACCCAGTAATCAGCAATTTTTCGGTTACACATTATCCTAGATTTGGCCAATGCTTCTGAACTATTTCCCATAGCAAATTATTGATCACTCCTTGATTGATATGCTTTTTAATATATATATATATATATATATATATATTTATAACTAGCGTTAATTGCACATGAAAATCTGAAAATCTGAGGGGAATTTCCTCGATTTTCGATTGTTGACTCTTTTCTTATTGTAATCGACTGATGAATAATAGACTGGTTAATTTTTTGAGAAATTTCTTGAGATTTCCGTGTTTGTGCAATTAATTTTATGAATTTGATGAGTTAGTTTTTTAAATTATTCGCTCTCACAGCAAAGATTTAAGAAAAGTTATCGAATTGGATTTCGTTAAAGTTTTATCTTATTTCTCACAGCACTGTGTATAATACCCAGGCGATTCGAATTCACAGAGTTTATCGCTATTGCAAAATGAACCGTGTTTGGC